GGGCCAGGAAATAAATATTTTAGGTTCTTGAGCCCTATGCACTCAGTTACGATCTTTCAGGCCTTTCAACTCTGCTGCTGTAGCCCGGCAGGCAGACTGAGATAATGCATGTATGTGAAGCCGCATGCTTCTGGATTGGTGCTCGAGCTGTGGTTTGCAGACTCTCACCTCATTTCCCACTACTCTCCATTGCTTTCTGTCCTCCTCTGCTCCCGGTTAACAAATAAGGGCCTTAAGAATAGTGGCCTCATCTGACTTTTACACTGCCAACCCCTCAGAGCCTAGGCTAGTGGGTTGGTACTCAAACATGTGGGCCAGGCACGGTGGCTCACGCCTGTGATCCCAGCACTTTGGGAGGCCAAGTGAAAGGGTTTGGGCACAAAGACTGAAGAGGCTTGACACGGAGTCTGTGCTGGAGACTCAGGAGCTCCCAGGGAGGAGTTCCCTGGAGCAAACCTTGGGTCTATTTATTATCAAAACGGGAAGTATAAAAGCTGCTTATCAGACATCAGCACTGATAGGGAGGATGAGGAGAAGATCAGATCTCCACCTTTGTTTTTGCAAAACTGCAGACCTTGAGCACAATCTTTGCCTCCAGCATCAAGAAACTTTTGGAATCCAGAGAATCTTTACCATCACCATTAGGCCTGGTATTGCCACACCTCATGTATTCATTCTCTCTTGGAGGTCGCTTTTCTGTCCTCCTGTGTGTATGCAACTCACATGCCATTCTCGTGACTCTTTAGGTCCCTCAAGCAGAAAGGGAGCCTGTGCTCAAGGTCAGGGTATAGCCAAGGTGAGAGGATTATCTGAGCCCAGGAATTTGAGACCAGCCTGGGTAATTATGAGACCCCTCTATCAGAAAATCCTAAAAATATTAGCCAAGCATGGTGGTGCACATCTGTAGTCCTAGCTATTCAGGCAGCTGAGGCAGGAAGATCACTTGAGCCCAGGTGTTTGAGGCCACATTGAGCTATGATTGTACCACTGCACTCTAGCCTGAGCAACAGAGTGAGACCTTGGTCTCAATAAAAGAGGGTGCCCAGGGAGCTCCTTTGCCACCTTCTGCCATGTGAGAACAAAGTAAGAGATGGCCATCTATGGACAAGGAAGAGGGCCTTCACCAGATACCAAACTTATCTGTGCCTTGATTTGGACTTCCCATCCTCCACAATTGTGAGGAATGAATTTCAGTTCATCATAAGCCAGTCTGTGGTGTTCCTTTATAGCAGTCCCAATGGACTTAGGCAGTGGTGATATTCACCCTCTAGTGCTTCCATGGGATCAGCTGAGCCCACATCCTTGCTACGTCCTCCCTCCTGCTCCAGCCTTTTTCCTCACTTCCTCTTGGGGCTTTCCTGACAGCACCCTTCCATATATCACTTGTGCAAATATCCTCATCACAAGCCCAACTTCTAGGGAACATGAACTAAAACAGGGATTGACAACCAGATTACCAGTTACATTTTAGTGAAAAATGTGTGAAATCAAGTCCTATTTTTACTTAGGTACTTTCAACCTACGTGAAGTTAGGGAAGTGTTGTGGATTGAACGTTTGTGTCTTCACCAAATTTCTATGTTGAAATCCTCACCCCCAGTGGGATAATATTAGGGACTAAGATTAATTTCTTAGTCCATTTGTGTTGCTATATAAGAGTAGCTGAGGCTGGGTAATTTACAAAGAAAGGTAGTTTATTTGGCTCATGGTTCTGCAAGTACCAGCATCGCAAAGATCTGAGGACGCTTCCACTCATGGGAGAAGGTGAAGAGGACCTGGCGTGCACAAAGATCACATGGTAAGGGAGGGAGGAAGAAAAGCAGCAAGAGAGACGCAGGAGGTGCCAGGCTCTTTTTAACAACTGGGTCTTGTGGGAACTGATAGAGCTAGAACTCACTTACCCCTCACCCCTTTACCCAGGGAGGGTATTAATCTGTACCTGAGGGATTTTCCCCCCATAACTCAAACACTTTCCATTAGGCCTCACATCCGACACTGGGGATCAAATTTCAACATGATTTAGGGGACAAACATTCAAACTATAGGAGAGACTTTGGAAGGTGATTAGGCCATGAGGGTGGGGCCTTCATGAATGGGATCAATGCCCTCATAAGAGACACAAACCACCACCCCTTCTTTCTGCAGATATAATATGGAGGTGGCCACCTTTGAACAAGGAAATGGGCTCTCACTAGACAGCAGATCTGCCAGGACCTTGATCTTGAAGCAATAAATTTTTGTTGCTTAAGCCACCCAGTCTATGATAATTTGTTATAGCACCCTGAAGTGACTAAGACAGAGGGCTTCAATTCTTACACACACACACACACACACACACACACACACACGACTATACATATATTTTACAAACCTTCTGCTAAGTCCCAAATGGTGACTTTGCTTTTGTCTCCGATTTTGGGGAAGTAGACATAGCTTCCATTGTGAGACACTGCAGTGAGGCCAGTGCGGTCCAGAAAGGGGACAGAGTCATGGGGCTTCTGAGCATAGGCAAGATCCCAGACTTTGAAAGATGACGACTGCCAGGAAGCAGATGCCATCAAAGTCCCACCCTGGGCCAGCAGGTTCACAGGGGCCCCGACGCCTTCGAGGATGTGCAGCAGGGTTCCCTGTTCTGAGAGACTCCACACCTGAGAAAATAGGATGGCAGATCTGATGTCTTCCTTATACACCTGTAGCTTGGATGTATGTTTAATTAAGCCCATTCATCCACCTAAGGTGAATTTTTAGGCTTTGTTTCAAGGAACTTCACATCTCCTCAGCCCCTTTAAAGTTCCTCATGCCTCACTGATCAGCTACCAGGGTCAGTTCCCAAAGTATGTCCCAGGGAGCCTCTGGAAGGGACCCTAGACCCTCTTTGGGGGTCTACAAGCTCAAAACTGTTTTCATAATAATGCTTAGATTTTTTTTGGTTTTTTTTGCTCTCTTCCTCTCATGTAGACTTTTCCGAAGCTAATATGAAATATTAGCTCACCAAAATGAAAGTATTCACCAATATGAAATATTAGCTCACCAAATATGAAAGTATAGAACCTAAACATGAGAATCTGTCTTCTGAGCCAAATGTGACAGAGATTCACAAAAAGGTGAAACAATGCCACTCTTCAGGTGAATTTTTCTTTTGGTTTTAGGAAATGTAGCATTTTTTTCTATAAAAGTATGTTATTAAATTGTGAATGGCATGTTAATGAATTAATGGATACATATTTTTGGACTGCATCCTTTTTCATTTTCGATATGGTAAATATCAATAGATAGATACACAATGGGCTGGGCGTGGGCTCCTGCCTATAATCCTAGCACTCTGAGAGGTCAAGGCAGGTGGATTGCCTGAGCTGACAGGTTCGAGACCAGCCTGAGCCAGAGGGAGACCCGATCTCTAAAAATAGCCAGGCATCGTGTGGGCACGTATAGTTCCAGCTACCTGGGAGGCTGAGGCAAGAGAGTCACTTGTGCTCAAGAGTTTGAGGTTGCTGTGAGCTATGATGCCATGGCACCCTACCAAGTGCGACGAAGCAAGACTCTGTCTCAAAAAAAAAAAAAAA